TTTAGGAAGGAAAAAAAGCGCGCTGCTTTGATGATCTCGCATTGGAATTATCCAGAGAGCGATGGTGGACACGGAACCCAGCGACTTAAGCTCCATTCCAATACCTTGCTTCTTCCTTCTTCTTCCTTCTTCCTTCTTCTGTCTCTTTCTGGTTAATGGGTACCATTTGTTTTCTTCAATTTCCCCTTATAAACAACATTCATAGCTTCTTCTTCAACATTATGTGAACCCCTGATTCAAATCTCTGTTTCTTATAACCCACTATACTCGTTTTCTTCGACTATGGCTTCCCTTAACTCAATTTCCCCTTCTCAGTCTCTCTTCAATAAAACCCTTTTCATGGTTCCCACTTCTTTTTCGAACCCGGATTTGGATTCCTGTTTCTTACCCAAAAGGGTTCTCTTCGCGAAGAATCCTGTGGGAATTTCAAGCGTTCGAACGAAGGTTGTGCCCCTTATTTCGGCCACCACGGCTGAGAAGCCGAAGAAGAGGTACCCTGGTGAATCAAAAGGGTTTGTTGAGGAGATGAGGTTTGTGGCGATGAAATTGCACACCAGGGATCAAGCTAAAGAGGGTGAGAAAGTGAGTAAAGAGCCCCAAGAGGGGCCTGTTGCTGAATGGGAGCCGACTGTTGAAGGGTATTTGAGGTTTCTTGTGGATAGCAAACTGGTTTATGATACACTTGATACAATAATTGCCAAGGCTGTATTTCCGTTCTGTAAGTTTGTTTTGCTCATTTCCTGGCTTCTTGAATATGGGTTTTTATGAATTTTTTACTGATGTCTTGGATTCAGTTTTATGAACTTGATTCACTCTGGGTGTGCATATGTTGTTCCAATCCTTCCTGCCACATGGCCGGGTGTCCATCCCCTTCTGGGCTTAGCCTCATCGCTGTTTGCGATATCCCACGACAATTGTAGAGGGAAACGAAACATCTCTTATAAGGGTGTGGAAACTTTTTCCTAATAGACGCGTTATACAACCGTGAGACTGACGACAATATGTAACGGGTCACAGCGGACACTATTTGCTACCAGTAAACTTGAACGGTTATAAATGATATCAAAGCCGGTCACCAGTGGTGTGCCAACGAGGACGCTGGCTCCCAAGGGGTGGATTTTGAGATCTCAATTGGTTAGAGAGGGGAATGTAGCATTCCTTATAAGTGTGTAGAAATCTCTCCCTAGCAGATGCGTTTTAAAACTTTAAGGGAAAAAAGGAAAAGCCCAAAGCGGACAATATCGGCTAGTGGTGGGATATATAACGTGTTTGAATATCTCATTATGAACTTTTCTAGTTTGGAGTTTGGGGGGGTTAACAGAGCATTTGACTTGGTTATATGAGCTTTTTCGTTGTTTTGTTTTTGAATTGGTGCACTATTTGTATGTGATAATAGATGCAGAGTTTAGTAACACAGGATTGGAAAGGTCTGAACCATTGGCAAAAGATTTGGAATGGTACAAAGAGCAAGGCTTTGTGATTCCTGAGCCTTCTTCTCCTGGAATTACCTATGCTCGTTATCTTGAAGAGATATCCGAGAAGGATCCTCAAGCATTTATTTGCCATTTCTATAATATGTACTTTGCCCACACTGCTGGTGGTCGGATGATTGGGCGAAAGGTAAACAAACATTATCTTGAGGAACTCTGTCTGAGCTTTGTCTTCATATGTATGCAAATTCACCGTATGTTCATTTTCATTCTTCCAGTTACATTTTTGGTTTTGACTCGAGTTGTCAAATAAGTGCCAATGTAAACAGTAAAAGTGTAACAGCCCAAGCCCACCATTAGTAGATATTGTCCTCTTGGGGCTTTCCTTTAATGTTTTAAAACGCATATGCTAGGAAGAGGTTTCCACACCCTTATAAGGAATGTTTCGTTCTCCTCTCCAACCGATGTGGGATCTCACAATCCACCCCTTGAGGGGCCAACGTACTCGCTGGCACACCGTCCGGTATCTGGCTCTAATACCATTTGTAACAGCCCAAACTCACCGCTAACAAATATTGTCCTCTTTGGGCTTTCCCTTCTGGACTTCCCCTCAAGGTTTTTAAAACACGTTTGTTAGGAAGAGGTTTTCACACTTTTATGAGAAATGCTTTGTTCCCCTCTCCAACTGATATGGAATCTCACAAAAAGGCTAGAGAATGAATTTTTAGTCATGGTGGCCACCTATTAGAATATTGGTTTCCTTGACAACTAAATATAGTACGATCATGTGTTGTTACGTGAAAATAGTTGAGGTGCATGTAACTTGATAGAATGCAATCACGAAAGTGTATGTGCGAAAGTGTGGGAAGGAAGATGCAGGTACCGAGACCATAGCGTGGGGCTTAGAGAATATTGTTAGTTAGAATTGGGCAGTAGGTAGCAGGGCATTCAGAATGATTGTTGGCTGAGGTCAATCAATTGAGTCAGATACTCACAAATACTAAAAAAAAAAGATGAGGGGGCGGGGCGGGGCGGAGGTCTTTGGTTTCGAGAATAAATTGCTCGTGTTACTTGATCTAAAGTTGCAACTTTCATTTAGAAGTGTCAAAATGTCACATTTGTTGAATTTCTCCTTGTCATGTAGCTAATCTACCTCGGTATAAGCTGTGTTATGTCGTCATGTGGTGCGAGTTCTTCCCTTCAATTGACTTAGTCCCACTTTTACATTCATCTACTGCAGGTAGCAGAAAAGATACTCAACAACAAAGAGTTGGAATTTTATAAATGGGAGGGTGACCTTTCCCAATTGCTGGAGAATGTAAGGGAGAAGCTGAACAAAGTTGCGGAAGTAAGCCACTGTGTTTCGTCCTACGGGGTCGATTTGCTTTTTTCTTTCGTGTCATCGATTGTTTTCCATTGAATTCCAAGAACATCTTTTTGTTATATTGTGTTGTACTGAACCATGGTTGTACACCAGAGCTGGAGTAGGGAGGAGAAGAATCATTGCCTGGAGGAAACTAAGAAATCTTTTAAGCACTCGGGAGAAATTCTCCGTTTGATATTGTCAAGACGACAATGACGACGACGACGACAACGACAAACGTGACGACAATGCTTTGCTTGGTTTTAGTAGTCATGTTAATTTTTCTTTTGTACAAGCTCTAATGGGTTATACCCACCATCTCTGTCAAAGATGAAACACTGGGGCTCTTTTTAACGTTCATTTAAGGTAAAAGTATCTGTTTGCTGAAAAGTTATGCCCTTAAAAGGGATATTAAAGTGTATTTACAGGAATGAAGTTATGTTCTGAAAGGGATATCTGTTTTCATTTATTTTGGTTTTGGTTAGGATTTAGTGTTTGTGTCTGCTGCTTCTGGGTCTGCTGGGAGTTTGGTTGGACGGTTCGCAAAGCTGCATGGCTGCTATGTTGTTGGCTCTGCTGCTTCTGATCTAAAGGTCTTCTGATAACTCTATTATGCGTCTGGCTCTGCTCTTATGTTCTTGTTATCGTATCGAATGCGTGCTACATTTTCTATTTACATGCTAATGAACTCTCCTTCTCAATTTGCTTATATCTATCTTATAGTTTGAATATCGACCCTTCTTAGCTTTGCTTTTAGAACCATTCGAAAATACCGTACTAATAGAAATATTGTCCTTATATGTATGAGCTTCTATTTACGAAGAAAGATTCTTTCTTTTAAGATTAAAAGATTGTGCCGGTTTGGTTTTATAGGGAGCATTACAATAAAAATGCTAATGGGATAGAATCTTGATATTAATAACAAACATAATTTGTGAGATCTCACGTTAGCAGAGAGAAGTAAATATTTGTTCTTATAAAGATATGAAAACCTTTATCTAGCATATGCTCTTAATATCACCGACCTAACCATGTACACCCTTACTCCAAATATGAGCTACAAGGATGTCATACATGGGCGGAGAAGTTAAGGAAGGCGTAATTGAAGTTAAGATTAGAGGGATGACACTGCTAATTCTGCTCGTCCTTATCAGTATGTCCTTATGCATATTCTTGTTGATTGAGGTGATTTTATTCCATTTTGTACACAACGAATTTGTTCTTTTTGGTTAAGAGGATAACGCTGGCCCCTCCCCCATCGTTGTTGCTCTTCTCCTCCCCACTTGCCCTTGCCGACCATTCATTATTCTCCAAAATCTTCCCATTATGATTCGGTCCAATCTCTGGATTCGTCTGGTTTTTGTATGGGGATAACATAATTCTACATTCCAACTATTGTTTGCCAGACGACATGCCAAGCCAAGCCAACGTGACATATACTCGAGCTCAGGACGAGCTTATTCTTTAGAATTAGTGTGGTCATACCATGCGGACCCTATTAGGAACCAGGAGCTTTTGCAATTATATGATATTGTCCACTTTGAGTATAACCTCTCATGGCTTTACTTTTGGTTTACTTTCTCCAAGACGCCTCATACCAATGGAGATGTATTCCTTACTTATAAACTCATGATCAACCCCTTAATTAACCGAGGTGGGATTCCTCTCTCAACAATCCTCAACAATCCTCCCTTCGAACAAAGTACACCATAGAGCTTCTCCTGAAGCCTATGAAGTCCTCGAACATCCTCCCCTTAATCGAGGCTCAACTTCTTCTCTAAAGCCCTTGAACAAAGGGTGAGTACACCCTTTGCACCATTTGTTCGACACTTTAGTCACTTTTAATTACACCTTCGAGCCTCACAAACTTCTTTGTTCAATATTTGAGAATTCTATTGACATGACTATGTTAAGGGCATGACTCTGATATCATGTTAGGAACTAGGGACCTCCACAATGATACGATATTTTCCACTTTGAGCATAAGCTCTCGTGACTTTACTTTTGGTTTCCCAAAAGGTCTCATACCGATGGAGATGTATTCATTACTTATAAACTCATGATCAACCCCTTAATTAGCCGATGTGAGACTTCTCTCTCAACAATCCTCAACAAACCCATGATCTAGAATTGGATAATCCCATAACCCGAAGAACAAGTTCGGTCTGAATCTAATGGAATCGTTAAAGAATTGTGGCAGAGATGACTGAAATTTTGGTGCATGGACATTGGATTCATCGTTTGAAACTGGCAGTACTTTATACATAAACCATCATACATTCTCAATCCAAACTACTTTAGATGATAATTTAAAGTGCATCAGAGAATTGGAAGGAAAAGTCAAAACATTACATATCACTTGGGAGTGTGTGAATAGTTCCCTCTAGCATTTCTCTTCAGCCATGTTGCTATTGACTATGCCACTCTTCTGCTGGTCCTTGCGCTTTTGTGGCACGTACCATATAACACAAACCAGAAAAGCAACAAAGTTTATGAGGCTTAATATGGTCAATAGCCCATAGAAACAGTCAAGTCTGCCGTAGTTTATATTGTCTGCAAGCCAGCCTTCTCCATCGGTTCCTGTCACTCTCTTCACTACAGAAACCAAGAAGCTGCTGATGAAAAACCCAAGTGATAAAGTGGTGAGGAAGAGGCCAGTACTCATGGTTTTCATCCCTTTGGGGGCCTTGGTTATGAAGAAATCAAGCTGCCCTGTGTATATGAAGGCTTCCCCTGCACCCACCAAGAAGAACTGTGGGATTAATAGGAACACACTTATAGGCAGAGTAGCTGTGTCGCCGCCCACTGCTTTTGCCACTGCTAGCCTCTTCCTCTCGGCTATTGCTGCTGCTGCCATTCCAAGTATTGACAGGACAAGGCCTATGGCCATTCTCTGAATGTTTGTGAAACCTGTGGCATAAGAACATAATTAGTCAGGATTCTTTGAAGGTGTATGTACTTGATTTTAATGGATCTTGATTTACCTTGTTTGCCTTTCCATTTCTTCCAAAGAGGCATGATTATACGGTCATAAACACCAAGAGTTATCAGTATGGCTGCTACAAAGAAGACAGTGAGAGAGCCTGCTGGGATTTGGAATGATCCAATGGACCTTTCCATGGTGGAAGCTTGTTGAACTGAGAAAGTGATCATCTGGGCATATGTAGTCCAGAAGATTATGGTTGTGGCCCATATTGGCAGCAATCTTGCCATCATTTTCACCTCCTCCACTTTCGTCACTGAGCTTAGCTTCCATGGATTTAGAGCTGAAGCAGCTCCATGCGCCTCAAAATCTCCTTGTTCAACAATTGCAGCCTTGTCCAAGAACCTATGCCAAAAGGAATCACATTAATCAACTAAACTAAACTTCAGGAAAGGATTATTGAACAGTGAACTCCAAGAACAATGAACATACTGGAATTGTTTTGTGTGCTCGATTCTTGAACCTTGCTCAGAAGAATCCTCATAAAGCATACCAACATTCTGAGGAAGCTCCAGTTTTCTCTTCTTGATTGCTGCAGCAATCACTTGAAGTATATGAACAACAGGGCTCCCCTTGCTCTTCTTGTATCTGTACCGCTTAGTCCCCGAAAGAAACAACGAAATTGCGACAAGCATCGAGACAGAACAGATCCCATAAGCCCAACTCCGACCAACTTCATCTTGAATATAAACCAGCACAGTAACAGCCATCAAAGTCCCAGTGCTGATGAACAGGAAGAACCTGTTAAAGAAGAACGCCATCTTAGCCTTTTCCTTCTCATCTGTCTCATCAAACTGGTCTGTTCCAAAACCAGAAATGCTTGATTTTAAGCCACCAGTCCCCAAAGCAATCAGATACAAAGCTAGGTACAGAATTCCCATTTGAAACCCATTTGCTTCCTTGCAGTCTTTGATGCCATCACACGGCGGCGGACGAAGCTGTGGCAGTTTTGTTGAAACTGCAAGTGCAGCAGTCCCCTAAAGCACCAAATATTTAACCATCTTAATCAAAAACCGCCATGTGTTTAGCTCTTAAAATGATTGATTCAAAACGTACCAGAGTTTGAATGGAAGCAGAGATGAGAATGGTATAATATCGTCCAAGGAAAGAATCAGCTAGAAAGCCTCCAAGCAAACACAGCAGAAAACATGTTCCCATGAAATCTGTAACGATATTGGCTGAAGCTGCACTGGGTAGATGCATTACCCCGCCCAAATACGTCACAAGATTCACTGCTATTCCCATTGTTGATAGCCTCTCGCATATTTCAATACCTGAAAATCATTACTCATCAAGCTCTTGCTTACAATTATGAACAGTATGGAAAAAAGAAAAAAATTATTACGAATCGTAAAGGAATCTGCTACCATTTCCATATTTTCTCAGGAAAATTTGCAGATCACTGTTATTTTCTCGGGGAAAAACACAGACAGAAAGAAGAACAAGAAGAAGCCCAAGCCAATGCCCCTCGTGCCAATTATTCCATAACTCGACGTTGAATAAAAGCATAAAGTGATTTGAAATGATACTTGCCTCATAAGTATTACTTTTAAATTTGCATGCATAATTATATTCAAAAGTTAATCATAGTTTTGTTTATATTTAAAGAAGATTCAAAGCAGAAAAGGCTCAACTTTTTGTTGATTCTGTTTTGAATGAAATTAAGAAAGAAAAAAGATACAAGAAAGAAGCTTTATGGAACACAAAACATTTTAAAATGGATTACATTTTTAAAGATTAAAGAGCTGAATATTCATATACCTAAGATAAGAGCAGCAGGAACCCATCCACCAGTCTTAGATTTTTCTGCAGGAAAGCCTTTGTAATCCACTGCATCAGCCACTGTCCAGCTTAGCTTACCATCCTAACAACAAAAAAAGATAGAAACTTTAAGCAAACCCATTAAAAAGGAGACGAAAATGGAGGTGAAGAAGAAGAGAGGCTCCATTGGAGCTCTCTTTTCAAAGAACACACCATTTTTGAAGCTTGGAAAGAAGGAGGAGGAGGAAGAGGAGGGTTTCTTTGAAATGCTTAGTGTTATTTGAGCTCACAGTCTGCTAAGAGCTTAGAAGTTGGTGCTTTTTATAGGCAAATATTTGTGAATGAAGAGGGGAATCCCATTGCAAGTTGACGAGGCACAAAGGCACTGTTTTTGTTGTTGATAAAAGGAAAGCTAAGGATTAGGTTGATCGCATTTGAGTGGAAGGTTCTGGCACTGATTGAAACTTTTGTTCTTGTAATCTTCTTCTTTTTCTTTCCTTTTTTTTTCCCTCTCCATGTTATTATTTTGGTTAATCTGTAAGTTGTTGTTGTTGATTCAGTCTTTTCATTCTCTAAATAAGTCTTTAAAGCTTTTCAATTCATACATCTGTCTGGTTTATGTGTATTTCTAAAAGTTTCCAAGAACTTAGTTTCAATTTTCCATCTCAAATGGATTATTCCATGTGTCTACTTATTAAACCGTTAGCTAACAGCTAGTAGATATTGTCTGCTTAGGACTATTACGTATCGTCGTCAGCTTTACCATTTTAAAACGTGTCTACTATAGAGAGAGGCTAGCCCTACTCAAACTAGTGTCACGTACTGTCCAGTGACTAACTCTAATACCATTCGGGAGGTGGATTGTAAGATTCTATATTGGTTGGAGAGTAGAAGGAAATCTATTTCAGAAGGGTGTAGAAGCCTCTCTCTAGTTGTGAGATCCCACATCGGTTGGGGAGGAGAACGAAACATTCTTTATAAGGGTGTGGAAACCTCTCCCTAACAGACACGTTTGAAGGGGGAAGCCCAAAGAGGACAATATCTGCTAGCAATGAGCTTGAGCTGTTACATTATGACAACCTCGTTCAATAATGTTGTTTGATAGTGGTACTTACAAAGCATTATCTAACAAGCTTGTATGAAGCAGTTTCATAGACAGTCTTAAAAGCTTAAGAATGCACTAATCTCATAACTTCACCTAATTACGAGTGGACGAAGAATGCTGGGAAAAGATTGGAATCTGGAAGAACAAAGACCAATTTGAGCCTTCCAAATAGCAATTATAACCTTATATCTTCTCCCCTTTGGTTTTGTGGAGAGTACAAGAGAGAGAGAGAGAGAGAGAGAGTGTTAGTGTTAGCAGAAAGGCTCTTATTCTTATCAGTATCATTGCTTCTGGTTGTGAAGTTTTTGCAAGTGGTTTTGGTACCCCACAAAGGTCCAAAAAGCAAAGCCTTTGTTGATCCCACCACTTAAACTTCCTCATCCTCTCCATTTTCTCCGCATCGACCCCAAGCCAAGCCCCATAGGGAGCCTTCCATTGGTTACTTTCTTTTTGTCTTTCTTCCACACCATAAGTGCTGCCTTTCAAATTGCTTTCTACTCTGCTGTATTATTGGTCTCTCCTGAAGCGTTGTTTTTGTGGAGACATGTGGCGCACAGATATGTCGGTTCAATAATTTGGGGTTTGCCCAATCTACTTTTGCTTTTAACTCGTTTTAGGAGTTGCCCATCTCAATAAACTCACCTGGCTCCTCAAATTTAGATTAAAAATAGACTCTTTCATCTTTAACCATTATCAAATGATCAACTTTTTTTAGGATACGAATGAAATAAGTTTGTGGATGTGGATGAAACGGAGTGTATATGTCTTGATCGGATTCTTAGTCAGAATTGAAATCTTTTTAGGTTTGGATAATCAACCCAGCAACAGGATTATTATGTTGCCCAACAGATCAATATATCAGAAGGATATATTAAATATGATTCTCCCCTGTAGTAGTTATAGTTATGTAACACCCCAAGTTCACTACGGGGATATCTGATAAAATTGGAACGATACAGAGAAGATTAACATGGCCCCTGTGCAAGGATGACATGCACAAATCAAGAAATGGTATTAGAGCTAGACGCCAAGCGGTGTGCCAACAAGGATGTTGAACCTTCAAGGAGGTAGATTGTAAGATTTTACATTGGTTGGAGAGAAGAACAAAACATTCCCTATAAGGGTATGGAAACCTCTCTCTAGTAGACGCGTTTTAAAATTATGAGGATGATGACGATACGTAATAAGCCAAGGGCTTAGACTGTTACAGAAAGAGACTACGTCCATTAGTGTAATAATCCATGTTTGGGATTCGGATTAGGATTCAACACTAGATAGCCTCGATATTCTCTTGCGACATGGCCATTCCACAAATCAACACAAATCCTAATATGATTTGGAGATCACCAAACATGTGTCCTAGGGTCGAAAACAACTACTTTAAAACCGCTCAAAAAAGTCAAACATATATATAAAGAAGTCGTGGTTTCATGAGCTATGGATGTCTTCCACCAAAAAAGAGACTCATATGTTTCAACTTTAGGCTCACTGACAGTAACATTGAGATGTCAAAGTAGTATTTCTAATAGTGTATCTCGATTCTAACATGTCAACGTAATTATTCTAATCTAGGCATTTACTTCGTGTCTAGCTGGCTTCCTAGCTAATAGATGACAATCATTAAAGGCCACGAAAGATTCTTTCTCAGTTACAAGACCATTAAGAGATTCCTTGTCAACAAAGACCATTGGCACCCTTTTTGCCATTGACTTCAAATGAAACATCTTCAATTGAGTTGAGAACGACGACAGTAGACCCAACACGACAACTGACATAAGCTTGATACTCAATATCAATACGTGAACAAACTACTACTTCCTCATATCATTAAGCCAGTTAACGATTCAATCCAACTCGTCTACTGTGAGTCCCTCGTGGACCATAGAGAAGCAAATCCAAATCTTAATGTTAACTAAGGAACCACACTCGGACGAAATAGAAAACTAAAAGTCTAACCTTTAGTGACGAAAAGTGCAATTTATCTGAATTCTTTCGATGTATACATATCATATCATTTGCATTCGAGTAGGCTCTCTTTATATCATTTTCTTCCCCCTTAACTAGCTACCTAGCTCTTCATAATACTCACCCCACTATAACATTTTTGCATATACGTCCAAATCTATAGACTTTCCCTCACAAAATATCTTCCCTACCCATTTAACCCACCCAACTTCCCTAAGGTAGGAACCATCTTTGATCAACTTCTTCTAACTTCGATCTCATGGGCTGCGACCCTAGCCTACTGCCACATCACCGACAGACAGCAACTGAACAACTTCCAAATCCAAGACATGTTCTCCGAACAAAGTAATATCCAAATTTACCAACAAATTAACAAACCCCATCATTTGTTTGAACCGAGAGGTTACCATGGTAACGGTCTAAGTCCACCTCTATTAGATATTGTATTCTTACCGTTCAAGCTTATATTTAACAGATATTGTTCTCTTTAGGCTTTCTCTCAAAATTTTTAAAATGCGTCTGCTAGAGAGAGGTTTCCACACCTTTAGATGTAAGATCTCAAAATCCACCCCTTTGGAGCCCAGCGTCCTCGCTAGCACTCATTCCCTTCTCCAATCCATGTGGGAGCCAGTGTCCTTGCTAGCACATTGCCTTGTGTCCACCCCCTTCAGGGCTCAGCCTCCTTGCTAGCACATCATCCAGTGTTTGGCTCTGATACCATTTGTAACGGCCTAAACCCACCTCTAACAGATATTTGTCCTCTTTGGGCCTTCCTTTTCGAGATTTTCTCAAAGTTTTTAAAATGCGTTGTTAGAGAGAGGTTTCTCCTTCTCTTCCGAACATCCGAACGAATGTAAGATATTATATGCTAAGTTGACCCAAGTGGGGGAATGAAGAAACAAGAAGTAAGAAGAGCAATGATACATGTTCCAAGCGTTGACATAGGAGAGCGTTGACATTCCCCAATCCAAAACAAATAATGTAAACTCTAATAATTGAAAGGAAACATAGAAGTAAAATCCAAGTGGGTTGTAAAAAGCCACGTGATGTTGTGGGGTGCCTCACGTGCCTTAGTGGAATATCCATCCAAAAGTATGCATTGCACCTGAAAGGTAGGCTTCATGAAGATACCCACAGACCAAACAATATGGAACTATCAGACGCCCACCGCCCATTGAATAAATAACCAAAAGAAATTCTCCACTAAGCACCACAGAATCAAAACTGGAATGCTTTTTAATTCATATGATATGAGATGATATGAGATGATATGAGTAATCCGTAGGGGGCCCTCTCTTCCCCCATTTTGCTGCCTTTTTGTTGAATCAATGAATTAAAATATGATACCAATCTGAACTGCTATTGTTTGTGTGGAGGCCCTTTCCCTTTCCCAACCCTTGTGGCCTATCTTTATGATCTTCATCTCTCCCACGTGTCTGGTCTTCAAATTCCCCAGCTGTAAACCCTCTAACAAACACATTTTCTTCTTCAAACTTTTCTATAATACAACTCTTTAATCATTTGCTTTATATATATATATATATATATGTTGTCGAATTTGTGTTTGTCGACATGAATCGTGTGTGTGTCTAGAAACTTTGGTTTGTAACATACGTGTTTGGTTTGTGCGAGTATTAATTATTGTTATCAATAAAAAATGTATGTCTTAATCAGTTGAGATATGTTTAAATTGGTTTTACATGTTTTTAAACATAAAATTTGTGTATAGGTGTTTGAGTTTGTGTTAACATGAATATAGTATTTTTATACTTTGACATGATTGATAGGGAAACTTTTTAAAAGTATTTTTATAACTAATTTGCAAAATTTACCCACATAAGCCCACCGCTAGCAGATATTGTCTTCTTTGAGCTTTCCCTTTTAAGCTTTCTCTCAAGACTTTAAAACATGTCTGCGAGGAGAAGGTTTCAATACCCTTACAAATGATGTTTTGTTCTCCTCCCCAACCAATGTGGGATATCACAAAAGAAGTCGTTGAGGCTTAAAACATGTGGAGCAGCATCCCAACGGCGGTTCTTTAGCGTTGATAAGCTAAAATCTGAAATATTCTTATCAAAATAGTTTGTAGCATCACGACGTGGTTGTGTGATTTTATAAATAAATTAGGGTTTGTGGCCACTACAAAGGGTGTTTTTACCGTCGTAGATTAACAAGCATTTAGTTTATTTACTACTCAGAAAGTCTTTTTTATCAAACGACTCGTAGGAAGTGAGAAGAGCCCTTACTACTCCGTCCCACAATGT